TGGTGGTGGTGGTGGTGGGGTGGCGGGGGCGGGGGCGGGGGCGGCGGCGGCGGCGGCGGCGGCGGCGGCGGCGGTGGTGGTGGTGGCGGTGGCGGTGGTGGCGGTGGTGGTAGTCGTCGCAGTAATACTACTACTAGTACAAGTACTACTAACTAGTACTGGTATTCCTGATCACCATAGCAAACAATGCTGAGAAGTTTTTCCAACAGACAAAGCACAGGCAGGACATCACTTCCGCCGAGTGATTGCCATAACGGGAACAGGTTGACCGTAACGGGAACGGGATTCCGTAACAGCAACCCGGGTTTCTGTAACAGCACCGGCCTGCCCCCTGTAACAGGAACCACAGGGGAGCTCCCACACTGACTCTTGTCGCCTCCGCCTACTCTTGTTGGCTTACAAGAGAGGTACCGCTTTCCGGTCCCCCTCTTAGACGTCTTCAACATGCCATTTCATGTAGCACTACAGGAACCTTGGTCCCGAATTTCCGATGCCTACAGTGTGGCCTACAGCTGAACACTTCTGGAAAGGTCTGCTGGAATCATAGGTCGCCTTGTAGCTTCGGCGGTCTTAGTTGCTGCCATTGCCGCCGGCGCTTGCAACTGGCGCGACGACTTCTTCGCAGGACAGCATCCACGGGACATTTGCTGGATCTTTAAAGCAACTTTAGCATTGTTGACTGAACCCCAAAGCCCCGATTCGAAACAGCGCGAGGGCCACGCATTTCTTCTGATTTGTCAGCAACCATCCCACGCCGAAGGTGCCGTGGCCCACTGCTCTGGGAAAATCAACGAGGCCAACTGGGCCCGCTTCTTGCTGGGCCTGAGCACCGAGCACTTCGCGGATGGCCAAGCTTGGCCTTCCCAGTTGATTCCTCTTGGCATGCCGTGGACACCCAAGGAAGAGGGCGAAGGGTTGAAGTCGGTGTTGAAGACCATCAGGGATTGGTATGCCGCTCGAGACATCGACCTCAACTTCTCACTGCAAGGGGCGCCTCGCGGCCTCGCATGCAGAAACAAGGGTCGGTCAAGGAAAGGGTACGGCTTTCGGGACATGTGTTACGTGAATTCATGTCTGCTTGCTTGCCCTGTCAGATGCACTGGGACGACACGGACGGCAGCTATTTTTCCGCCGGTGGCGTTCAAAAAATTCATACGCCACTAACTTCAAGCAGCTCGACGTCGCACCGGGGACCTGGCAAGCATGGTGTCCTTCACTTCGCACACGGTCAATCCTTTTCTTTTCGATTTCCTCTGGCAGTCCGTGCTCCAGAAGCTCGCGTCTGTGGATGTGGACTGGTAGGCGTACGACGTGTGAGAACCTGTCAAAGAATGGGACCGGAAACCGGTCCCCCTGGCAAGACGTCCTCCAAGACTTCCAGCCTGTTGTTTTTCCCGGGACAGTTCCGGTTACGACCTTCCGAAATGGTTTCCGTTACCCCCCAAACCAGGTTCCTGTTACTCCTTGCACCCCAGTTCCGCCTGTTCCACTACGTTTTCCGTGTGTGATGAACATGCGTGTTCTGTGGATGCAGGCGTCTGGTTGCTTCAGTCTTATTTCAAGTCTCGCACTCATTGTCTTTGTTCAGACCCCCCATTCCTGTCAGCGCTCCTTTGAATGTTTAGACTCTAGACACTCGGGTGTTCAAGATGTCGCTGTCTCCATTTCGTTGTTTGGGCTCCTCCCTTTGCGGGCTTCCGTCTCTCAAATTCCACATCTTCTACGGGTTGGAGTTTGCAAGCGTCAGGACTTCGGGGTTTCAGGTCCCGGACCCATATCTCCCCTGAACAGGTTGCAAACGCCTTATTTCCTTCCAGGGATTCGGGTTTCGCAGCCATGAGCTCCTTTCAGGTTTCGGGTTCCCGACCCCCATCGTCTGGGAATCCTAATAAGGGTTTAGGTTCCGATGCTGACGCAGAAAGTAAGAGAGCCATGCTAAGCATAGATTGTCGGGTCACGGTTGCTCTCGTTTAAAACAAGACATGCATCGCCCGAGGCTTTGTTTAGCGGCAAGTGCGGCATAGCAAGGTTTAAGGGATCGCACCAGTTAGTTTCCCACCGGCACACGTTTGTTCTTAGGTTTCGAGAGAGATACAGCTCCATATGAATCCTTACTTAGCACACCTATACAACAACTGTTGCCGTGTAATTTCGGACAACATTGTGTGCACGTTTCAACCCAAGCAGTGCTTGCCCCAGCCAGTGCATAAAGCCTGTGGCGCCCGAATCCTTCGACCATGGGATGCTCTGTGCACGAATTGGTTTCTTACCGTTCTCCGGAGGTTTGACAAGTGCCGACGAAGCGGTAATGGGGTGTTGGTCAAATTGGCAACCGGGGAACTGAGTCAAATCCCACTGCTGTGCTAGTGTCGTCAGGTGTCAAACCGTTCTACACTTCTTCTTGCATTCTCCTATACGGATTGGTGGACATCGTCAGCCAACTGTCAAATCCAGATGCAACAAATCTTCTTCGTGCTCAAACAGGAGCCGACGATGTCAGGAAATGTAGGCGGGGATCTGAGGAAAGGGAGCAGGAAGATCCCGGGACGAAGGCAGACGCGGGCAAGGGACATTCCGGAAGCAGATGATGCAGACGCAGCCGAAAAACCATTCGCCGAGGTCTCCCTCGATTCTGGCTTCGGTCACCAACAAATGTCTGCAGCAGCGAGTGCCTCGCGAATCTTTGCATGCTTGCCTCGAGACCCCGTCCAACTGTGAGGCTGGCCAGCGACATGGGCCTGCAAGTCGAGCAGCGGCGCATGGACTTCCTCCAGGCCAGACAGTGAGACATGGTGCAACCCGTAAAATCGATGATCTGCAAGGAGGTCAACACCTTCAGAGAGGTGGCGGCTGTGGGCACTGCTGCAGTCGTTCTGCCGATAAGGCCAGAATTTCAACTTCAGAGCACCACAGGGATCAATCACAGCGTGTGCGTTGCATTTGGCAGATCGAGTAGTGTACAGGTCGCTAACCATGCGGGAGAAGACCTTCCACTTCGAGAAGCATGAGGTCATACAACAGTTACATATCGCACAGCCGGGAAGCCTAGGGTTGTCGGCCTTTCTGCACAGGTGATGGCCAAGCTGAAGACGCAGCTGGAAGCCATTCAAGTAGGCGTCAGAGCGAAAACTTGAAGGGAACAGTCAGCTGTAGAAGTCGATGAACTGTTGCATAAGAAGGAGCTGGGACAGCTCTTTGGGCCTCAGCGAAGTACGTTTTTTGAGGTGAACAGACCGAGCCCTGAATCCGAGCATCTCTGCCCCAGCAGGTGATGCGCCGGACACGCACGGATGGACAAGGAGATATTTTCCCTACAAGAATCTCGATAAGTAGCTTTTTGTGTTGACAATGTGCGGTCATGCGGCTGAAGAAGAGTTCCAGTCGAGCCACGTTGCTCGAGGATCGTTGTTCCCGGTTCGTCTCCACAGGCCGGGAGCGAACGATGCCGGTGGTATAGCTGCTCAGCTTCTGCAGCAGTGCGAAGACTTTCTTACTTGATTCGGCTACAGTACCTGTACGCCACGTCGCAGCCCTTGTTTTTCAAAAAGGTTCGTTCAGATTCGCCGGATCTCCAAAGTCCAGATCCGGTCCTTTTCGGGTGCCTTTTTATCAATCAGACGGAATGGACATGTCAAGGCTCAAAAGTGCCGAACGGGCCTCGGCGGGCCTGGGAAGCCTCAACAAAAAGCCTAGGACAAACGGACAAGCTCTTGAACTTGAAACCTGAGCGAAGGGTCGCGGCTTCAAGGGGTGATGCAATGGTTTTGTTTGAGAGTCAAGCTTGCCCCTACTTTGGAAACTTCCCTGCCGTTCTCACACTCCTCTGTTTCGAATGCAGCTTCTCGCCGAAAGACCAAAGCCCCGAAGTTGCCGTCAGGCCCGGCTGTGAGAGCGAAGAACTGGTACCGAGTGCTTGGCCAGCTCGGCCACTCCGGAAGGCCAAAGAAGCCGCAACTGAGTCTGCGCTCTGGGCTTGAGTGAACGTGCACTGTACAAAGGCATTTCAGGCTGATTCACTCAAACACAGAAGGGGATCGAGAAAGCCTCTGCTTCAACTGGAATGTATGTGCGTATCATTGAAACGACTTGTATGCAGTGCGCAACCTGTTCGGGCGACATTCCATCAGTGAATCATTCCCGATTTTCCAGGTAATTCCAGAGATTCCCTCAACGTCAGGAAGCTGCTGGAAAAATTGGGATCGATCTTATTGGTTGCGTTGTGCTTCTCGTCTTGTTGGTTGTTGATACGTGTTGTTTCTTGCATGTTGATTGAATAGTGTTTGAAGCTTCGTGCTTGGATGTACTTCGTGATTTCCTGTAAATCGGGGATGGAGAGGAATATAGGCTACATCCAGGGCTCATTCTTCGGTGGATTTGTCTTGCAGCCATGTCATCGTTGAACCCCCCGTGCAATCCAGTTCAGCCTGTGCATGACTTCTCTTCTCTATCGCAAAGCATGCTTGAGTTCCGGGCTGCACAGAATCGAGGAGTGGCTTTGTATGACCTTGCAGACGCTTCAGACGACCTGTCCACAACCCTCCCCCAATGACTTGTCCGCGGTTGTTCCCAGAGGCGGGTAGTCAATGTCGCCAAGTGTACCGGCATGTCTAGCGTAGGGATGCAGATGCAGCGAACATAGACAAATCGCTTCGAAAATTCGATGTCCTCGGCCAGAGCATTAGTCGCATTGCCGGCCTGTGCATCGATCGTCAAACCTCATGTACTCCTCCCCGGTGAGGAAAAGTGTCAACACACACCAAATGATGCTGAGGACTCAGCCGGGAGGCTGAGGTCAAAAGTGACTGGCCTTCATATGCCAGGAAGGAAGGCGACGGAGAAATGAATTTAGTTTTCCTTCATCCGGGAGAATTTCAAGCAGAAGTCAGAGACATTGCAGTCTCGACATGCAGAGCGATTGTTAACAGCGACAATAGCGAATGTGGTGCAGTCTGCAGATGTCTTTGCTTGGTGCAAGCGTATATCTTTTTTTTGGACAGTCAAGTCAAATTCCGTTTTCGTTTGTCCTGCACTGTCCTGCTTTTCGACAATGCGTTGCACTATGCATCCTACGCTGACACGAGTCCAGAGGCTGGACACACGCTTCCGCGAACTCCAGCGACGGGGCAACGAGATAGCAGGTGATAGCAGCAGGCCGGAATTTCGACAAGTGGGCATGAGAGGAGAAAAGGACTGCTTATCCAGATCAACTGGTCGTCAGCTGCGCAGGCCTATGAAGGAGATTGATGCCAGCGAGTACTTGCGAGAGTTGGAAACTTTCCACGCCGAGCAGGACTGCTTCAGCATAGTTAACAGCAACTTACCTCATCTCAGCGACATCTCATGCATTGACTTGTACTGGGCATCAGGAACGGTATGTCGAGCAGGTCAGGGAGATCCTCAAATCCAACCCCAGCTCAGGCTGTGCACCTGTCGCGACCCAAGAACAACCCTTCACAGCAGCGAAGTGCAGGCGCCCCAGGCGCTCCTGGAGCTGGGGCTGGGATCCTTGGCAGCGCTCGGCTGGAAGATCTGCGAGGTGCGAGTGCTTGAAACCCTGCAAGAGCCATGTGAGCAGCCGGAACATGCCGGGGGAAGACCGGGCACGCAACAACAAGATAAGACACCGACCGTCACCGACCATGCAGCGTGCGTGGGACTCGCTAAGGCCCTGGAGCCATCGGTGCCGGCACGAGCATGCCCATGGCAGGCCTCACGAGCCGACTACAAGTGCTCGTTTTCGGTTTTCAATGAAACTGAGAGACTGGAATGGTAATGAAATGTAATGAATGGTAGTTTGCGAATGTCAAGGCATGCCAAACGCAGCTCCGTCTGGAGTTGGGCTTGGCGCCGGGTCAGGACTCCGGACTGGCCCTGCCACTGGCATGAACCCACTGGGCGGTGGCGGTGGACCCATGCAATCTCAGCCCAGCCTTCCAAGCGGATTGGGGGGTGGCTTTGGCAAAGCCCTCCCAGTCAACAGTCTTCCCAGCTTGGGCGGGGTAAACTCTGCGAGTGGTGCAGCGGGCATCCGCCAGGGCCTCGTGCACCATTAGCTTCCCAGTGCAGCCGTCCTGTACATGCCTGTACCATTCCTTAGGACCTGACATGCGGCTGCCCAAGATTGAGGTGCCCTGTTGAGCCAGCCGCAGCACACTGTCAACCTTCGACTTGGTTTCAAGCCTCGAGCTGTCAGGCACCTGGACTCTCGAGTCTTGAGGAAATGGGAAGCGCACCACGCTCAGCACGCGCAACTGTCAGATGATGGAAGCTGTAGGTATGCGATGGCATGCGACAGGGTGTGAAACAGTTGGCGCCAGTGAATCATATCCTACAGCGCCCGGACTGGAATTACAAGCTCCCATGAGGATCACAAGAAGCCTCGAATCGGATCAGGCAAAGTGCAAATTGGCTCCGGCACCCCAGCAGAGGTTGCCAAGCTCATTTCCAAACGATGCGTAAAAGTCCCCTTGTTCCAAAACAAGAACCTGCACATTCTGCGCAACCGCAAAACTGCTTGCTTGCCGTTTTTGAGTTACGAGATGGCCAAGAGCATAAGGATGCAGAGGCGACTACTTCCAACGACCAGTGTTTGGTAAGCCTGCAATCTCAATGTGGGTTGTCAGCACTGGGCAATTGGCCATTCAGAGCAGATGCGTAGAAGGGGATTGGCAAGCACAACAGAGTGGGCACCTCCAGCAGCCAACACTGCCGCAGGTTTGCAAACCAGAGTCAAATTGCAAGGCAATGCCTCGACGGCATCAACATGGTGCGAAACATCCTGAATTCTGTTTTGTGCAGCAGGCTTTGATCCCACACATTTGGCATCCCAGGAGTGCAGGAGATCGTGTGCATGCAATGTCAGGGATCACAACACTGCGGGAGGTATGCAGTACAGTTTTGCACACTGGCGTCGCGTGCTTCGGAGAAACGCAAGACGAGGTGAAGCTGAACACTGCGGTGTTGCCCGACAGTGGCACAAGCGTTTGCAGTGGAGGCTTCGCGCGAGCTTTTGCACGAGTTGGGTGTGGCAGGGCCTGCAATTGGAATAACAGCGGCAGGTGCATCGTGCGGCGAAAATCAGAGCCGCCAGAGTTAGACTCCTCCGGTCAGGCATCGGATTTTGTACCATAGGTGCAGCCGCTGCGGGGTTTAGGCGATGCACCTGCAAAAATCTGCGGAGTGCACTCCACCCTGCACGTTGGCGCCCACGTGGAAATGCTTTCGCAGGTGGTCACAGAATCATACAGTCCGAAACCGTCTGAAGAAGCTGTTCGCGGGTTCATGCGACTTTTCAGCTTGAGTGTATGATTCTGGAAGTCACATCCTGCAATCCAATGACTGGCCTGCAACTTTAGTACTGTGGTGCGTACTGGGTTTGCAGCCAATACCGTGGGAAGACAGTTTTTTCAATTTTGAAGATATCTGCAACGGTTGGGTATGTTGCTTCCGCCGCAAGGCCCGTGAGTCTCTGATGTGACCGGGACAACTTTTAGGAACCCAAAATGGACGTAAGCATAGGCATTTATCCCTACCTTATTGGGCTTCGTTATAACGGGGTATATAAGGGGGTTTACATGAGATACCCCTATCCTAATATTGCTTATGTAGACAACGCAGTTGCTCTTGGAGGGAGGTACCAGGGATTTAGACTCCGGAGCCGCTTGCTGTCTCACCTCTAGACCCAACCTCCAACGCCAGCTCGGGCATCCTTGAATGGCACCGGTGAGTCGGCACAAGAACAAACTTCTACCGATCAAACCAATCGGAAAGGCGTCGCTCATGAGCAAGATCCTTGTCTGCAACGATTCTCACCGTGAGCCGCAGAAGCGTCGTGCCGCAGTTTGCCCAATGAGCTGTGGGCTCTGTAAAAGCAGAAGCTGACAAGGCGTGCTGCATGATGTATTCAGCTTCTCGGGTGCCAGGGTGCCAACATGTGGCAACCATCGCATACCAGAGCTCACTATGCTTTGCCTCTACGTATAGGCTCCCGGCTCCTGGAATTTTCCAGCCCTGTGTGTCAGCAGCTGGTTGCCGACGTCCGACTAGCTTCCACGGAAGCATGGAGAGGCCAAAAGCTGCAACGTATGTGCAGATGTGTTGTGCCGCAGTCTGCCGAATTTCTGGAGGGATGCTCAGTTGCTTCACAAGCGAACAGGAGCGGATGGTCTGGCAGAACCCCAGCCCCCACACAGATTGCTTCCTGCCTCATTCGGCTGTACTTCAATTGGAAAGCTACCAACTGAAATTCCGAAGATGCCGCAGCATTTTTGCTGCAGTCAAAGAAGCGCAAGATGCGAACGCTCTTTGGCAAGAAGAAGGACAAGGACCTGGAATTGCGGCAATCTTCGGTTTGAGATGCTTGCATGCTCAGGTAGATTAACGGTCGCTGCCGTGTTTTGTACTCCTTCCGAGGACAGCTCTGAGAACTTCAGCAGCGTGTCGACTCCTTCGTTGCCCCCTGCAGCACCAGCCGAAGAAGGCTGGCCGAGTCGACTCACCAACCACCTTTCGTGCCTATTCTATGGCTTTGCGATGGCCTACATGTGAGGCTGCTCTGACCTCGCCTTTCTCCCGAGTCGCCCGGGCGGTGATTGGCCGCCCACGTACGCGGCCCCAGCTGATGCGGGTGGGTGTGGGTGGGTGTGGGGGGAGGGGGGGTGTGGTGCGGGTGTAGGTGGGTGCGGGTGTAGGTGGGTGCGGGTGGGTGGGAGGGGGAGTGGTGGGGTGGGTGCTGTGAGTGTGTGCGCATGTGCGCATGCGGCACTGGCAGCCGTTATGCCAAGATTTTTTGATTTGTCACCCCGAGTATCGCGGCATAGCTGCAGGTTGCCTCCCTTAGCAGACCTTGTTTTTAGCTTCCGTAGCCACTCGAGGTTGGCAGATCGGCGAGCGCCAGTTGACACGGAGGCGTGCAAAATCTTGATTGTGGTGAGCTGGGTCTTTGCATGCCTGGGGCGCGCGAAGACCATGCGAAGCCTCTGTCTGAACACTCCTGGAAGTACGTCCCTCCCGATATTTCCGGGCAAATGATGACCGCCGTAAACCAGCCAACAGCTCTGGAGTGTCGGAGATGCAGGCATGAACTCGTGAGAAAGTGCAGGCTGTAGTTTCATGTAGTTTCCCTACACTCTACACTTCCAGCTACATGTTGCGATTATATGATGCGCAGCAGGACATCCCGCTGCCTGGGCGGAAGTCCAAATTGGCAGGCATGCTGCTCTTGTGTTGGCAGGCATGTTTTTGCGAAGCATGGTCCAGACTTTGGTCGGAGAAGCGACTCGCACCGTCGTGCGTTGGAATAATCAACGCGGGATGCCAGCGCAACTGCTCCAGTCCACACACTTGTTGAACAGGCCTTTTCGACGAAGACGTGGCACTGGAGGCACCAAAATCAGAGCACTTGGAGGCGCACATAGCGGCTTACAGAGATCCCGACATTCTTGGATTCGCGCTGGTCATCTGCAGCCCCACAGACTCAGACAGCCCCAAAGGTGAAGGTGCCGGCGGCTGCACCCAGCGTACCAGGTGCCATCGTGGAGCTGCTTGGTGTTTCAGTGATCTTCAGTGTTGTTGTAGCTTCCAGGTCCATCTCCGGCCACCATGGGAGATGCCAAGGTGCTTTCCCAGATGTCAGCACAAAGCAAGTTAAGTGGACCCCTTGCAATCTCGTCAGCATCGACATGTCAGCTTGTCACAATCACAGAGTGCTGGGCCATGATTTGGCATGCGTCTAGATTGAGTCAGTGAATGAGTTTAGATCTGACTGTCACCATGTTACGATGTTGCCTTGTCGGACCAGCCGAGAAACTGATCAGCGGTCGAAGCCAAGCACCACAGCAAGGCCTTCCACAATCTCGCCAGCCCATAACTATAACTACCGGAGCTGAACACTCGTGAAGCACGAATACTGTACTTCATAAGCATTCAGCAGCATTCAAAGACCATGCTGCCTCCGAGCCATGGCAGCGCAAGGTGACTTCGTGGAGCGTCGCGATGGTCAGAGTCAGGAGAGAAAGGTCTTCCTCATCAGAGGGACAGACCTAGAGATCCTCGCTTGCATCGCATGTAACACTGCGCTTCCATCCTTGTGACAAGTTGCCATTGAGTAAAAGTGTGACGCTCAGGGTTGGCGGCGAGTCTATTTCGTCCGAATGGACAACAGACTCGGAAGCTGAGCAGGCCCTGCAGGCTCAGCAGGGAAGCCGAGGGCTGCTGGAGGTGCCTTGGCGCAAGGAGGACTCATTCCAGGCTCCCGTGCCGTGAGATGCCGAGAGCCGTCTGCCATCGTGCGCCGATCCCATTCGCCGCAGCTGCTGAACTTTTTAGAAGCACAACACTTTTAGCATCATGCGGTATGATACCATGTGATCTTCAGGACGGCCCCACGGTCACACACTCTCAGCATCTCTCAGCCTTCTCAGGGTGCTGAGCAGTTGAAACAAAATCATCAGACTTGGCAGCGCCTCTGGATTTTTAAGCAAGTGTTAAGAGTGTTGGTTATCTTGCATCGCATAGCCATGCAAAAGCTGGGCCCGCCATGTCTCCTCCTCAAGAACTCGATCACGGTGAGAGGCTTAAGCAGAAGTGCAAAAAGAACAAAATCGGCCAAGCATTCGCAGAGGTGAGTCCAGGAAGCGGCACGAGTGGCTCTCGCGCTTCCGAGCCTTCAACTTTTTCTCTCGAATCATCAACTCAGTCAACTTTGACTACTTCAACGCACATTTATCAGGAGATCACGAGGCCAAACCCCAAGGCCAGAGAAAGCTGGCAGCCTCAAGTTCCATGGCTTCGAGAGGATCTCCGAGAGGATGGCACTCTTCGAGCCAGACCCCTTCGTGAGCGCCGAGAGAACCGAGAGAATGGAAGGCCAAGGCCAAAGCCGAGCCAGGACCAGGACCAGGACTGGCAGAAGGAAAGGAGCGGAAAACATTCAGGACCGGAAAGAAAAGCGGAATGGAAGCACGATAAGCGCGAAAGGTGGACTGACCAAGAGTGGCATTCCTGGCAAAGCCAGTGGCAGACAGCTCAGCCAAACTACGAGTTGGGCAGGTCCGAGAACGTGCAGTCTGGCTGGGGAAGCTACGTCCAAGTCTCAGATGACGGGCTTCTCAGTATTCGCTTGGCAAGAATGGGACTTGATGTTCGCGCAATACAAAAGTTTTGCGCATGGCTCCCAGCAGAGCTACAGCGCTTGAAGCAGGCGAAGGTTCGAAAGCTGTACGTCTCCAGTGACGACATCGTCTTGGCTCATGATGTAGATGTTTCTCAGAATGACTTGGATGATGAAGCGATGAGGATCCTGCTCCTGACTTTGAAGCAAGCCAGGGTGGTCATTGGAGTTGCTAAGTTCTATCAGAACAGACTTGGCTGCCGCAGTGCAATACTTCTGTCGCAGTGGATCCGATCTGCACCTTGGGCCCTTTTCGAGCTCCACCTAAGTCACAATCAGATCAAAACAGCCGGAGCCCTAGAGCTGATCAAAGCAGTCGCGGAGACCAAGACTTACCCCTCTGCGCGACCGGGGAGCAAAAACTGGCCTTTGCCACTATGGCTAAGACTGGAACACAATGACATCCCGGAGGCAGACAGTTTTGAACAAAAGGCTGAGCTTTGTCTTCAGACTGCTCGACCGGATACGAGGGGAAAGCTGATCTGTTGGTTCGCACCCAGAAATCGATATGGATGCAGAAGTGACAACTGCGGCCATTCCACCCCGAATCACTGCCCGGTGATTCACATTCCGCACCTGCGCCCAGAGACGCGGAATGGTAAAGTGTCTGCACCCACTACATCAGACAATGACAAGGTGCAGAAAGCCCCTTCAACGCATGACTCTGATCCTTCGGTGGGCATGTCGGGCATGCAGCTCATCGCGCAGGCTGCTGCAGAGCCCCCAGTTTTCCATCAGGGCAAGCCTAAATCTAGGCATCTAGGCAGTTCTGAAGCATGGCTGCATTGTTCGTGCTCTTGGAGCGCATGTCCAGTTGCCAGGTTGCATGCGCAAAGCTTCCACAGTCCGGTCTTCACACTTCAGACATCAAGGACACCAGGTTTGACATGCTTATCTAGCGGGGGAGTAGATAAGTTGTTGAAACTTTATCTGTTCTCTGAAAAGGATAGCACACAGACAATGGCTCTCCAAAAAGCCGCGCTAGCCAGGTATCAATGTTCTTGCAGCAAGTCTGTCGATTTGCGACTTGCGTTCATCGTGCCGTAACATGTACAATCTGAACTTCGGCGTGTCGTGGACCGGCCACATCTGGGCTGTCGCATGTTTCGCTCACTAGTGCTCGGGGGAAACAACAACATGTGTGGAGGTCCAGGTGGGGCAAGGTTTGATGCCGAGATGTATAGGACTAGCTTTTCCGCAGTGCTCAAACACATCTGTTCCGCATTGATGTGCTTGCAGGAATCGGACATCGTCATGGAAATCTCGTCCGACAGCTTGCGCAGGAGCGGACAAGAGCCTATGACAACCTTGTGCAATGACACTGAACCTGGGGATTGTCCTGTGGCTCCCCAGCGTGCGTTATGCGAGGGAGATTTGCGATCGTTGCCTTCAGAAGCGTGGAGCAAGATCCATTCTTCTTTCTTGCACAACAAACCGAACACAATGTCAGCACATGCCCAGCCGGCGTGCCACAGCGCGGCCAGCATTGGTGATTTCAGGATCCTGCCAAGAAGTGCATGGGTTCGGATACATGCTCCTTTTCAGACTACATAGCAGCCAACTTTTAAGCAGCTTTACCATTACCGGTGGTATTTGCAAGGCCAGGAATAAAATTCACTTCTTGCGCTGTGCCAGCACATGCATTCATTGTTTCATGAAGTCTTACATGCTAGACGGTGTAGAAGTTATGCAGGTGAGACGCATGCATTGTCCCGTCCATTTTCACTGCAGTACGATAGGATCAGTCTGTCCACAGCGCACAGCTTAGTCTATTCGGTACTACGTAGGTCGACGAACTCAGCTGTGTCTTCGATCTCGAGCAAGTCCTGAACAAAGGAAAAGCAAAATCGCAAAAAGCGCAAGAAAAGAGCTTGGCGCCTAAAGTACTTGCTGTTCCTCGGCTTATTCAGGAAGTTGACAACCATGGTTTTAAATGATCAGTCGTAGAACAGGCCCCGTCCCGAAAGCGACAGCGATAGTTCTTCGAGCCGGGACCTTAGCCTTCGGTCAAAGTCCTGGCATCTTTGTTAGTCTGAGGTCGTGCAAGCAGCAGCACCAGCAGCGACACCTCCAGCAGCACGGTGCCCTGCTAAGGAAAGCCCGGCAAGGCTGCAGACCCGCCAAGCAGGCAACGACATCAGCACTTTTCAGCACTCTAAGGATGGCGGTCAGATCGGAAGCTTCAAGCGGCAGCGACAGCAGGCCTCAAGAGAGCTGCGCACAAGGACATACATGTTGGGTCCTGTTTCTTCACTGTTTACATACTAACTAGGGCACTGCACGTCTCATCCGCTTGCAGGTGCAGCAGCAGTGGAATCTCATCAAAGGAAAAGCGTCAAATTTCTCGCCGCCCTCTGAAAGCGTGAACCTCAGCAGATCGCAGTGAAAGCGCGAGAAGATGCCTTGCAGCCAATTTTCGATGGGGCCCTGAAGTTTGCTGGCTGGAGAAGCTTTCGTCAAGATTCGTGGAAGCGCAAGGGATACGAATGGGACATCGTAAAACCTTGTGAGATTTGTTCGAGACCTTGGAAGTGTGCACCCCCGTCATTGGATGGTTGATCCCGAAGTGCTCAGCCCTGACCGCCGCGGCTCCCCCCCCCCCCCCCCCCGTGCCCCCCATGCTGAGATCGGAACACGGATGTCCCGATACCATCGGCTAGGATGGTATCAGGAGATCAGATGTAAACAGCAAACGAAGAGGCTTCAGGTGCAAAAGTTGTGCAGTTGATCTCACTCCTTTTGAGCCCTTGCAGGCCCACCGCTGCTGTCATCGGACTGCGGCGACAGGCAGAGACTGGCAGAACGATTCGAGCCAGAGCGGCATCGGCGCGGAGAGTTGCTGGGGCCTCGGCAACTAGTAACTACTGTTTACTTCATCTTACAAGTTAGGTCTGCAGCAGCGGTCCACAAGATGCAAAGCGTGAAAGTGCAAACAGAGCTGTGAAGATGCCAGAAAATTGAACCAACAGTCAACAGTCGAAAACCCGATCAGCGGTCAGAGCCGCCTAGCAAGGGACAAGAGGAGGGCAAGAGGATTCCCATCACAGTCCAAGACGTCCCCGGCCTCCGGCCTCGGCGGACAGTGTGAAATGCACTCGCATCGGACAACAGAGGATCTTCAACTCACCCGCAAGTGCTGGGACTTTGCAAGGCACTCATCAACATGACAGATACACCCGTGGCAACGTCGACATGAGCTCAAATTGAAGCGCGGTCATGTTGCGTCGGTGGACACGCGGTCGCAGAAGCAGGAACAACTGCGCTTTGATATTCTTGTGCTAGGTTGTGGCAGTGACAGTCGTTTCGGAGACAGCTACCAGTAGTTGCTCAGTGTTTCTCGTTTGTGACGCGGTGCAGCATTTTGACACGCAAGCTGCGACTGTCAAACGGATTGTCGGTAGCCCGACTCGCACCTCAACATAGAATGAGCATCCCTGTACACGAGCCAGTGTTTCCGTCGTCAGCTGGCGGGTCCTGGAATATAGGACGCGAAAGTGGAATCGACTTCTCTCGCACTCCTCGCACTTGTCAGTCCTGTAGTTTGGCTTGTCTTGGAGCAGCAGGCCATCCAGGAGGGCCATGGCATCTGTGTGCACTAGTGGTCGCCGGGCAAAGCATTCAGTTCAATGCAGGGGGGGTGAGAGGCGACGCATGGCGCCGCCGTGCCAACGCAGCCATGCCTTGCTGGGTTTCGGCAGCCATTAACCCTGCTTCCAGAATAATAAGGCTGGCCTGAATGATGGCTCGATGAGGCCCACGTCCTCGGATTTTTCAAGCTTTCCCTCGCGGAAAGAAGCCAGCATCCCACAACATCCCGCAATACATGCCACCCCGCGTATGCGGGTGGAAGCGAGCAATGCTAAGACCGGCAGGGTCTTCCCGACAGACACGAGTTTCTGTTGCAAGTACTTCCGCACGCAGAGACGGAAGCGACATGCCTGGTAGAGAGACCCCGGCACGCAAAGACGCAAGGCCGGCGGGCCAGGCTGTTTGCGTCTCACCTTTGCTCGGTATCTGTGGGAGTTGTGTTCTTACATCTCCTTGGTAAGCTCCCAGAGTCCTGCCAGAAGCTGCCACCGACACACAACTTTCGCTTTGCTCCGGTCTCACACTCAGGCCGAACTCCCAAAAAAAGCACAACCTTCTCACACGATCCACTCCCTCCGATTCAGCTCGGTGATGGCTTAATCGGGTTATACAGCTATACGATGTTATGCTTGGCCCATATCACGGAGGCAAAGATACAGATCATGTTGAATAATTTGTATATAGAGGCTGACAGACAGGTGGGTAGCTAGAAGTAGCACAGGTGCACAAGAGGTAGATGAAAGGGAGCTGTGTGCCATCTTGAGATTCACCTCCATTTCACCTTTGGTGTGTTTTGTTTTACTTGTTTAAGCTTTACCTCTATTGTACCTCTGTTTTGCCCTTTGGCAGCTGTCATTTGCCTTGTCTTGTTGAACCTCTATTGTACGTCTGTTTTGCCCTGGTGTAGCTGTCATTTACCTTTCCTTGACTTGACCTTGTTCTGTACCTTTGATTGTACCGTGTTCATCTTTCGTTTGAGTACCTTGGTAGACTTGCATATTGATCTCGATGTACCTTTGTGCTTTCATTTGCCTTTTATTCAAGCGGGCTGTTTGGGGTTCCATCGGTTCGGCCCTTCTAATGTTATGTGCGTTCAGGCATGTTGACTTCCATACCTGGCAACTGCACAGAATAGAAGATCTTGAGGTACTGGTTCGATGCCCCAAAAAAGCGAGTGCCTCAGCTGGCGAATCCTCGTGTGTCTCGGCTCTGGACATGTCAGACAGTTTGATTGGACTCAGGTACCGAGGCTTCGCACTGGCACCGGCATTTTTGCGCCAAGACGAGATTGAGGAGAGGGGAGGGGACCGAGGTGACCGACGCCCAGCATGTCGGCACATGGCCCACTTGGGAGGCCATTGCTGCCGCTGCCAAGCACAGCTCGGTGAAGGAGATCAATGACCGAAAGGGCTATTTGGCTTTTAAGCACAGGCGGGAGTTTTAACACCCTGGCAAAAGGCAGTAGGGATCAGCCTGGCAGGGTCTGGCGTTTCGAGCTCCAGCTCCGCTCCCTCTACCCTGAGCTTTATGCGCTTCGACTTCACAAAGTGTCAGTGTGCGCATGCTCGCGGCGCACGGCGAAAGATCGGTCTCTCGCCATTCGAGCTTCCGAGGCCCGGCTGATGGCCCTGATGCGCAGCGCAGACGAGGCACAGTGGCAGCGGCTGTCAAAGTCAAAGCGACTTTGACTGGGTCGTTCAGGCTTTTAGGCAAGAAACGGCTTGCTTGCCCAGTTTGCCTGGGCTAGTCTGGTCCGACACTGAGGAAAGTCTACCCGGAGGTGGAGTACATCGAGTACGACGTGGATGAAATGGGAGAACCTTGCTTCATCGAACCACACGTTGACAACAAGTCTGCTGCATCCCAGCTAAGTTTTATCATTATAACCATCACCTGCCGTGCCTGGAAGTAATGGTCCTTGCGCCTCTGGGAAAACGTTGAACCTGCAGGTGACAATGGTAGCAATGCTGTCTGCACCGGATGCCTACGTCGGCGGCCGAAGCTGCTTTCGCAGGGCTGCAGGAAGTCGGGGCCACCGCGAGGTACCGGTGTGAGCATCTTGATTGGTGGGATGGGATCACTGCGGTGTGGAAAATGGGCTTCCGACAACTTCTGTTTGCAGGTTACACTCCAAAAAGGGGACGTCGTGTCTCGAACCGCAACCATCAGTACAGGTGTGTTTGTGTTTGCATCCTGGTTTTGCCGTTGTTGCATCGAAGGTGCTTTTCCGCGCCGCTCTCAACATGACAGGCTGCCTGTAAGCTGCAGCGAGCCCCCGTATCTCACTGAGGTGGCGAGAAGCTCGTCCACTGGATAACGTCTCCTGGACGCACAACCCACTTTTGGCATGCAGGCATGTTGCGTATGTTGCCAGCATTTGCAAGTTACATGTCGTGAGCACTCACGCCTTTCTCTCTCTCTCTCTCTCTCTCTCTCTCTCTCTCTCTCTCTCTCTGGGCTTAGTTCACCATCATCTCCAGGATAGGCAACATTCACCACCAAGGCCCGTGACAGCCGGCCGGCGAGTCATTCTGCAGATTGAGCTATCGCGTGTTTGACAGCTATCGGATGCTATCGGCTTTCCGACAAGCCGTGTGCCTTAACCTCCGCCGCTCGTGAAAAGTGCTTCTCTGCTCCATGTCGAAGAAGCAGATGCAATTCATTTGATGCAGTCTTTTGTCCGGTGTAGGTCATTGCAAAGCAACTCCAGTCAGAGGGCCAAGGTTTCCCAGTGCCATCGTCTTATGCAACGGTTGGGAAAGGAGGAATGATCAAGCCATTACGGATTTGTGCTGCCCATCGAGTGTTGTGTTTGGACGGCCTTACCCTTCAAGCAAAGTAATTATCTTATGTCGGTTTTAAGATTTAAGGGCTAGGAGCGGGATGCCCGGAGCTCACGAGCTCCTTGATGTATCGTCTGGATGCCGTGGCTATCGGCAAGATGAGACAGTTGCAGTCCTGAGCTGAGTTTGGCGCCGAGGGCTCTTGTCGTGTCAATTCCTGGCACTACCATCTGATTCGAGGTCACTGTCTCTGCAGACAATGTGAGACAAATGGTGGACACCAACAGGACCGTGACGGTGCACCTTCAAGCCCCTGCTGACTAGGCGAACAGCGTGTCAACTGCACCTCGGTTAGGCCTCGCTTTCTACAATCCGCGATGCGCTGTGCGGGCCCGGCTCCTCAAGCTCATGGGCACTGTGATGACGTGACGGTCAGGCGGATCGCCATGTGAGATTTGAGAGTTGTCTTTTCTAGCACTATACGTGGATCCTCGGATTGCTCATGTTATCAGGCGGGTGGGAAGGCGAACTGAAAAGACATGTGAGCCATTGTGTGGAAGGGCTGCTCTGCACTGCAAGGCGCCAGACTTCAGCAGAGGTGGGGGGAGAGAAGACCAAAGAACTGAGACCATGAGAGCCCCGGCTTTTGTCCGCACGAGGCTTTGCAGATTTGTTGCCTTACGCCCAACGCATCCTGCACCCGCTGATCCACAACTGCGGGCACCAGCAAGATGTGCTGGTCCTGGGTCTTGGAGGCAGACATGTTCCCCCGGCGAAACGGATGTGCGATCACTGAAGCTTGCTGACAGGTGGTGCAATCCCAACTTATTTGAAAGAATCCTGCCCCGGTACGCATGACTTTTGATTGCAAGGAAAAGAGCTGCCTGTAAAGCTTTTATTGCCATGTGGACTGACTTCAAAGGTATTGGCAGTGGACAACAACACGGACGTTGTCCGAGCAGCGCGGGACTTCTTCGCATACAGAGGTCCGATTCTCGGTTTACACTGTATTATGATAGTTATGGGCACTTGAGAACAGAAGCATCAAGAACTGACCCGCATCTGATGAATCAGGTGAGGCTCTGGTGCAAGACTTGCACCACGCTCTTGCTGACCTTTCACACAAGCGGCCGCAATCTTTTGATGCAGTTGTGGGAAGCCTACTGTTTCCGCGATGCCTGAGCATGAGCCAGTGTGCGAACGCGCCCTTTCCCATGCAAACTGGCACGAATTGGCAACAGTTACGATCCCCAAGGTTACGGATGTTGGACACAATATTAAGCTTACCAGAGGACGGGTATGGTCCATTCTCGGCAGTGCAGTTTGCTGGCACTGCAGGACTTACAGAATGTGTTGAAGTTGCTGAAGCCCAGCGGCTTGGTTGTGGAGAACCTCAGTAACCCAGCCTATGCAGCTGATCAGCTCATGTTGTACAAAGAGTTCCTGGGTGGAGCAGTCTCGGAGGAAGTCAGCAGATTGGCGGCAATGGCCTTTGATGCAGTACTACAATTGCTAAGAACCCCAAACAGCTGGTAAGGTGCTGGCAATCACATCCTCTTCGGGCGGAGCAATGCGGCACCACCGACCATCGAGCAATGATTGTCGGAAAATGTCGAAGCCGAGAGTCATCCTCCAGTCGCTGAACGTGCATACTGCACGGGTGCCTTGTGTTACATACTTCGTTTGCGCAGATTGCGTGGAGTGGTCTTACTCGGCTTTTCCGCTTGGACGATGCCGGAGATGAAATGATGGAGGCCTTGGATCTCAATTCTGTCATTGTTCGCGAGGGCGACCCCGCCCCACACGGAGTGTAGGGTGAAGCTTCTCCGCTTGATGCCAGGATAATTCTAGACTTCAGGGTAGAAAGACGGGTGCACAACTTCAAGCTCCCACCTACCCCGGGCTCCCTCGGCCCCGCATGCCTCGCACTCCGAGCTGCCAGGTCGAAGCCGGCGAGGGCCGGGACGGCCTCTTCGTAGCCGTACTAAGGTGCAAGTTGTTAGAAACAATGCCTGCCACCAGCCGGTGTACTGGCCCAGGAGCTCTGCCGATGTCGGGCATCAGCTGGAACTCCTGGTGTACACTGCCATCAGAAAGTGCCCGCCTCGATCCTACAACCACTTTTAGCCCACTTTCCGCACTTTCCTCCAAGGCGCAAGCGCCTGCGAGTGGCTGCTGCAGTGCTGGAGCTGCAGACACCCTCGCAGGATTCCGTGTAGGGTGGCTCAGGAACGGTGCTTGGTTCCAAGAGCTTTGCTCAAGCGAAGAAGGGATCTGGGATCTTGATCGGTGTGCGAAGAGACCCGACCCCTGCGCTCTTGAAAATCTGATTTGTGCCGGTGCTTGGTGCAAGGTCGTTCTACGACGACACGGGAATATACTGGGCCTTACAACTTGAGAAAACCGAAGAGTCGATGCCTCAAAGTCTGCCTCAAGACAGGCATGTAGAAACAGAGAAGCTTTCGGCTCAGGTCAGTGCCACTTGCGCGGCTGCTGCTTGCAGCGAAGGTCCTGTCGTGTCAAATACTCTGCACGACTGGCGATTTCAACTACAGAGCATCGCCAAGGTCAGTTCCAATCAGTATATCATGTGGCAATGCACAGACATGGACATGCCGGTGAAGTTATCAGAAAGGGCTCTCGAGTGCAGCGCCAAGCTTTTGGTTTGATCATTGATCTTGGCTGTTAACAATCAACCAACATATGTATTGGGCATTGGCATAAAGTGTTTTACTTGATCGGTTTGGCTGAGCCACAGACAGCTTGAACGTGTATGGAGCGGAAGCGTGTGCCCGTCACTGCCACCAACACAAAATGTCTTATCCGATCGCTGGGCAAGCAGCCTGTTGCATGAGTGGCATGCCACAAGCACGGTCCAACAATCACGTTCAAGACTCGGTCCATAGACTTGTTCCATAATCCAACTTGCAGACTGGATGCCTGCACTGCGCGGTCCAGGCGGCCAGTTCCGGAGAAGTTGCCATGGTCGAGCTGAAGTGTGCGGACACAGAGGTGGCCGTTAAACGAGCTGAAGTGTGCCTTATTCCTTCCGGCACACATGAAGCCTCAAGCGCTCCGTTGGAAGGCTGCACCTTGCTCCCTACGTTTGGCAGCAGTGTTGGAGCCTCGTGCTTCATAACGTTTCGGAAGAAGAAGGAGGGAGGTGCAAACTGAGGTCGCACAGGAGCCTTCTGCAGTCCGAAACACAGGCCACAGTGCCTTTCTCAGGGCCCGAAGCTGTGTGAAACAATTTCGCTGCTTGTCACTTTTGCAGACGAGGTCCCATCCCTAAGCCTTTCTTTGATCGTCTGTGGTGGACACCGTAGCACCGACTTCTGCATGGGCATCTTAGTTCAGTTCTGCAGTGCTCACACAGTGAAATTCCATCAAGGTTCCGAGCACTTCTTCCTTCCCCCGCGAGCAGCTGGAGTCTGCTGATGCCTGGTGGGGCTCAGGCCAGTGGCTTTCTGTGTCTGCACGCGTTTGCCCCCATAGCGAGAGCGCAGGTGCTTCCCGCGCGTTGGAGGGGCAGCTCGCAGGTTCTGTCGCCCTCCTGGCGGTGCCACCAGGCACACGCAGCAGAGCGCCTGAGCCGAAAGTCCGATCGAAGCCTCCACAGGTTCCCAGGGCTCTCTTCGCTCCAGCTTTGCCCCTAACACGAGCTCGAGCTGAGCAATGCCGAGCAGCTCAGCCTTTGCTGCGCCATTCGTGGCTCCAAGCCAAGGTGATGACTCAGTGCTGTTGCTGGAGGCAACTTTGTTAGTGGCATTGCCATGAGAGTCGTACGGAGCGCTCCGATGCTGCAGGTCGTTGCGGAAGGCCTGGCGGAGGCAGACCGTCCAGTCGAGATCAACCAGGAGTGTGGTGAGAGAGAGCATTAGGTAGGGAGAGAGTCAGACAGACGGAGATCCAGATTGCAGGGGTCAGTACAGCAGCAAGGCACGAGGCAAAGCTCACTTTGTGGCCTCGCTGTCTCCGGCGGCGCCGGCGAAAGCACGCGGTGTGACATTTGCCAGGTTGTGGTGATGCCTGGTGAGCATGCTAATAAAAGGAGCCTGTCCCATGCACTGAAGTTACGACCACATACGCAAAGTTCATCCAGGGGTGCCCAAGCACGGGTTGTCTCAGATTAGATGTGGTCCAAAAAGCTGTGGTGATCGGCAAGTTTCCGCAGCTGTGCAATGTGTGGACATTGTGCTAAGTGCAAATGTGGTATCAAGGATGCAGAACGGCCATATATTTAGTTGTTGTCAAAGCTGCTCGTCAACATCTGCAGCTGCACAGCCGGGCGCGGCACGTTGAAACTTCGGCTGACACCCCAAGTTGCTGGGGGATGCTGGGGGGTCCGACAAGAGCAAGAGGCGCTGGTGGAAGTTGAGCGGTATGGCGAAGATTGGCGAAGGGGCCGACAGGGCATGAGCTAGTGGACTTTACGTGCCCCCGTTTCGATAAAGGCCCGATAAAGGCTGCAAGATGACTTCGGCACGTGCCGCAAGTGCACGAAGTTCTGTGGGCCGCCCAAGGCTTTCGTGCCTCCCGACACCAAAACGACTTGAAGGGCAAGCACCGGCCGTGGCTTTGGCCGCTCGCGGACTGGCCTGACTACGTGGAGCACGCGTTGAAGGCTTGGAAACTTGCGGCTGAGGAACTGTGTCGTCGTCGACACCCGCGCGTCTGGAAGTGACACCAAACAGCTTCCTTAGATTGCGGTCGCCGACTGAAATGTTGTCTGCCTCAAAGCTTCCTCTCGACCCAAAGGCTGCACGCCGACCCTCGTGAGGCTTAGTGACTACATCGTCGTTTCGTGCATGTGGATCCCAGATTTCGTGGCCGCAAGTTTGCTAAGCTACTGGCCTGCTTGCAATGAGGCCCAATGCCTGCCGCTTGCTGGCGCTGTTGAGCCTGGCTTGACCGCTCCCATCGCTCGTACTTGGCCTCGAGATCTCGGTGTTTTACCTTCGTGCTCGCAAGCACTGTCTCTTGTTAAGGACAGGTTGCAGGCCCTACGTGACCAAGAAATGCGCCTGCACTCCTGCTAGCCCCAGCAAGGCGAGCAACAGCCTTTTGCAACCATGGGGCTTTGTAGACACATCCAGAAGCGGGCTTCTGGTGCCCCTAGTCCGAATAGATGGAAGCCGCCTTTTTGCGTCTGCACATTCGCGAATTCTCTTCTTTGGAGAAGGGATCCTTGCAGCATTGCAGGCGTCACGCCCGTTGATAAGTTCCGACCGAGTTGCATCCAGTGTCGCACCTGGGCTAGCTGCATGGCTGAGCGTGCTCAGAGGGGCCGTGGTGTGGAAGCGGCGGTGCTAGCCTTGGAAGCCACTTTGTCTCGAGATGACATCATCATGAGCTTGGACGCCTACAAGCATTTCGATGAAATGTCACCGGAGCTTTCTGTCGGGCTGTTGGAGCACGAATTCACGAATGCCTCCACCCGCAGTGGGCTCAGCATGAACGCCAAAGGCGGGGATGCCAACACAGATGGTTGCAGCTTAGTGGTGCTGTTAATTGTTCTCCCGTGGATGCGACTCGGTGCCTCAAAGTTGCGCACGCTATGGTTCCGATGGCAGTGGTTTGCACGCACTGGAAACCGTCAAGGTTGTGCAGGGTTCCGCTGCAGGGGCTGCATTGCAGCAGCTCGATTTCGTAAGCGAGCTGGTGGCGTCAGATCCTGCTGTTGCGCTTGGTGCTTGGGCTTGCTGGGGCTGGCGTACTCGGCTGGTCTCAAGGGAAACCTCAAGAAACTTGCTGCCGTGTGCAGGATCCCGTGGAAGGCGTTGGTGCAAGGTGGCGTGCCGGCGTTGAGCTTCACTGACTCCGCGAAGGTGCTTGGAGAGGATTTCGACGTCGGGGAGGCCTGGTGTGTTGAACTTACACACGCTGCACGTGTCGCCAAAGCTGAGAGAGTGCTGCAGCGGTTTGGCCGTCTTGCTCTTGGGGCCAGCTGACATGCCTGCTGTTTCGCATTTGTGCTTCGCCTCTCCTCCCCTGAGGCGATTGGTTCACCAGTGACAACAAAACGGAGGATGCTAAGTTGACCTCTGGGATCAACCGTCTGCTTGGACGAGGGTCCACCATGCGCTCGCGTGAGCTGTGGACACTGCTTGAAGGGCCTTCGGCTTCCAATTGTTTTGGCGGCGACTGCTGCCACGAATCTTGTGCGTGCAAGAAGTACTGGCTTTGTCGTGGCGTTGTGTTACCTGCAACTCGCTGGTAGAAGCGAGTCGACAAGTTCTTGACCGAGGTAGGCTTCACCTCAGCAATGGCTCATCCGGTTGGGGCTGCCATTGACATCAATGGTGCTCAACCGCGAGCACAATATAATGCACCTTTTTCGTGAGGCCTTCAGAGGCCGCTCTTCGGCCAGTCATGTGCTATTGTGAGCGCCGGGTCAAGGCTACTGCTGCGTTGTATGCTCGCTCTTGCACTCATGTGCATCATGGTGAAGCTGTCAATTCGGCTGTGTATGGCATGTTTAAGACTGGAGTGGACCAGTGGCCGTGGTGTCGTGATGAACAAGTAGGGACCACCTTTGCTGGGAGTGCTCGTTGTCTGCTGAGGGGCGAGCAAGAGTATGGCTTCACCATCTCGGGCATCTCGGGTGCAGACTGGGATGGCCGTGGCCGTGTGATCGGAGTGACTGCTCTGCCAGGACATGTTCTGGCACGTGGCCATTGTGCGTCGCGTACTCCTGGACCGGCATGACACACACTTCGACAGGGCACATGATGCCGACGAGCAGTGAATCTGGGAGTGGGGCCATGAGCTCATCTGTTGGGATAGGGCCAGCATCCGGCCACCGTCCCTGAAAGACCTTTGCCTACCATGACGACAACAAACAAAAGAAGCACAACTGTGGAGATGCTCGACTTCCTGTGAAAACACAGGCTTGCCAACGCGGTGTGTACAGGAGAGCCCGAGGACCGGACGAAGCCGTGTGCATCAGGCGGAAACCCAACCAATCTGTTGAGATTTCCTTGAATATTTACAAGTGCACCTTCGGTTGCATTCCGTTTGATGACTACAGGCCATACGCAAAGGGAAGCCGCAACAAACGTCCGCTTGCACGAAGCTGCGATTGGGCGCCCAACGGTGCCCACCTAATAGGCGGCATCTGCAAAGCCAGTGCGAAAGAAGGACAGGAATAAAGAAGAAAGAGGAGAGTCGGAGAGTCAACAACAGTCGGCATTCGTAAGGCTGCATCACTGTGAACTGAACATGTCCCAACATTCGGGCAGCAGGACACGAAACGACTTTCGGTCAAAGAGCGGATGGCCAAGCCCCTTGGAAAAAAGACTCATCGTGCAATTCGTCAGGTCAGCCAGCAGACACAGGTGGAGGTGCACAAACACACAGTGCTTTCCTGTAGCCGAAAGGCTTGCGGCAGCTTCGCTGCCCCCCGGTGCCATCGGCATGATGCCGTGCCTAAGATTTCCAAGTTATCAAGCAGTCAAGCAGTTCATCTTTGGAACATCCATGTCGTCTCCTGTGACTCGTTCAGCGAGGCCTTTGGCAGAGGGTGACGTTGACGAAAAGGCTTCCAGCCAAATGATACTACGAGCACCAAGTCCTGTTAGGTCGTTCTCATCTCGCAGGTTAGCTCAAGCGGGAGACCGAAGGAAGCAAAGGAACTCCTGCAAGGTTGTGTCGTGAATCTTGTCAACTCAGCATGCAGGATCCCGTGCTTCCAGGTCCAGGTGTGTGCCCAAGCCCTCCCAGGCACGAGATCGGTGGAGACTCAAGTTTGGACAAGTTGGTTTGTTCGTTGCAGGCCTTCGCATCCTGGGCCACTGCCTGTGAACCAAAGTGGACAGGACCCCAGCCATCCCAGCCGAGAGCTGCGAGCAACTTGCAGGGGCCGTGAAGGCAAGCACGAAACGCGTGTGCAAAAGTTGTTCGAAGACTTCACCAATCAAAGGTTTGCAAAGTGGACATCCGTCCGCTGAGATCATCCGACAGCGCCCACCGGTCAAGCCTGTCAGATAGAAGGCATGTTAGTGGAAAGGTCGCTCTTCTTGAGTTCTTGTGATGAGTTGGAATCTTCGAGGTACTGGAGTGCGGTACAAGAAAGTGGCACTGCGTGGGCACCTCGGGATTCAGCTGAGACAAGCTGCAACGAGCCGCCGTCCATGTTCCAGGCCCTTTGCATACCTCGGAGCTCTCCCTTTTGTGCCTGAGATCTCAGATGCATTTATGCAGAGAAATGGTTAGAATCGTATCAAGGCCTGATTCTGATGGCTGATTCTGATGGGCTTTCCCAGTCAAGGCCTGGCCTCACACGAATGCCAATAGCACCGTCGGCTGTGCACTCCACTCATGGTGCAGCTGCGCCTCGCGGCAGCACGGCCACAGTGCAGAACGTACTTGTGTAGCACGATGTCGCCACCCAGGATCGCCGAAATGGCGAAGGGCTTCAATGCAGGAGATGGGCTTGCATGCGAGAGACTCGCGACGGCCGCATTTTGGCCAGGACCTGTGCCGCCGATGCCGACAGGTCCGACAGGTCCCGCTCTGGAGGCTCGGGCCTCGGCTCGAAATGCTCGTCGCTCCGAGGCCGTCGGAAGGATCTTAGCGCTCCGAAAGAGTCTTCTTGAGTCTGTGCTGAGGTGCCTTTGAGCAGCGTGTCCATGGGTGAGTTCATGGCGTCCATGCGCGATCTGGATGGGCACTCGGAGCATCCAATATTCCCGCTTTTTGCATCATTCGTTCTACCGAGGTTAGAGCAGAAGCCACGCCAGAAGGTTGGCAGGCCCGCTTTTTGGTTGCTGCATGCATGAGGAGAGCAGCATGTTTTCCAAGGCAGAGCGGCAGAAGCTCGAGAGACGAGCACGGGTCGCAGATGCTTCGTTGAGATAGAGCTTTGGTTGGATTCCATCACATTTCCCACCGGAACTGAGAACATGCCAACTTTCTTGTGTAAGTACCTATGTGCCGAGGCACTCAGCGACAAACAGAGGCTGTAGAGAGAGGCAAGGGAGGCAGGCAAGACAGCAAGGACGAAACCTTAACCGACCGAACACGAAAGTGCCGCTTCTGCGACAGAGTGGGCTTTCTAAGGTGATCGGTGACATAGCAACAATCGGCTGCAACAATTAGTCCAAAGCCAGGATGGTGTTCAAACACTAACCAGAACACTATGCCCCATCACAGGCATAAGAAAGCACACTAAGACAAAGCGAGCTACTACCAAGTAGCAAGCCTGTTTCTCCGTCAAGAAGGCAGTTGGGCCAGCCATATGCTGTGTGGTTCGAGCCACGTGAGCGTCGCATACTGCACACTGAGCATGTGGCAGCAGCGCAGTCCCAGAAAGAGTGAAAGAGAACACAGAAAGCCTAACAAACAGTCAAGCTCAGAAAGCCCAGCACCTGCGCACCGAGCTGAGAGATGCCGCTCGCCGTTCAGCATAGCCTCGAGGGATAGCACCTCCAGTTGTCACAGCATAGCACCGACTCGATCATGCAGTGGCTGCTGGGCGCAGCTCAAGCCGTGAAAGAAGCCACGGGGCCATCTGTCAGTGTCGTCGCAGGTCGTAGAGTGCAGCAACAGCAGTTGCTCGCCGACGGCGGCTTTGCATATGTCTATGCTGGCCTTGATGCGGAGACTGGCGAGAAGCTGGCCATCAGGAAGGTGCTGCTCCAAGACAGAGAAACCTTGGAGAAAGCAAAGGTTGAGATCGAGCTGCTCAACAGCCTTTGCGATCATCCGCATGTAGTGCGATTCCTCGGTGCTGAGGTAACACAAAGGGGCACTGCTAGCGAAGCGGTTTACTTGTTTGAGTTATGTACTGGTGGCACGCTGTTTGAAAAAATCGATAGCAAGGTTGTGGCTGCGACCAAATCCAATGCCGATCCGATGCAAAACCAACCCGGTCACTGTCCCTGTCTTCCACAGGATACAATTTTGGAAGTACTTGGAGCCCTCGCCCAAGCCCTTGCTTATCTCAGCCGGTTGGGTCTCATTCATTACGATGTGAAAAGCGAGAACGTCCTCCTTGGCTCAGACAGTCTTTGGAAGTTGGGCGACTTTGGCTCTGCAAGCGAAAGATCCTTCGACCTCGAGGGTGCGGACAAAAAGCTGCTGCTTGATGCACAAGAATTTATTCATGGCCGCTGCACACCCATGTACAGAGCACCTGAACTGGCAGATGTCTATTTGAGATGGAAAATTGGGGCCAAGGTTGACATGTTTGCGTTGGGATGCATTCTCTTCGCAGCTATGACAGCACAGCATCCATTTTCCATGGAATCCACCTGCGCCAACATCACAGCCAGCTATCGAATTCCCACAGAGGCTGCTGCGTCTTATGCTCCAGCACTGCTCGGCTGGCTACGACGGTTGCTAGCTCGTGAGCCCTCAAAACGCCCTTCAGCTGTCCGTCTTGCAGCAGAGGTCGAGCGCTTCCGAATCTTGGGAGAGGATCCGAACGAAGAGATGCTTCAACAAGAACGCAAGGATCACAAGGAGCAGAACAGGGAGAGCATCCCTGCAGAGGCAGCCTTCGCAGACTTTGCCACCTTCGCGCCAATAGCTGCACCACAGAGCTGAAAGTCGCATCTCGCGTGTTTGCCATGTTCGCCTTTTGCCTAGGGGGGTAGTGGTTACACCCTGCATTGCCAGATCTTTGCTTGACGTCCCCAAGGTGTCACTGCTGGAGGAGCAGCTTCGCTCATCGAAGGTCCATCAGGCGCTGGACTGCAAAGCATAGTTTGCAGGTTCCAACAAGATGGCAGCGCTAGGTACTGTCTGCTCAGTGCAGACTCCATGACGGTGCAATCTCACTTGATCCACTTCAACGTACCACAATTAGCGAGCTGTCTCGAAGAAAAGGACATGCAATGCACACCTGCCCACGGAGAGGAGCGTCCATCATGGCTTTCAAGACATGGTTGAGATCTGTTCCTGAATCACACACAGAGACCGTTGGAAGGAATCTTGGTACTTCCTGAATCCTAACTGGTCCTAACTAAAGGTGCAACGATTCCGTCCACTGGACAACCAACACACCAATATCCACCCTAAATTCCCAAGGTGGGACAGAGGTCCCACGCAAATAACCAGCTTTGTGTTTGTCATGGCTTTGAAGAAATGGCGTTGACTCATGACCACAATTAAACTATCGAGTTGCAAAGGCCATCAAGACTGCTAAGCAATTGAATCTTCTGGTTCTGGAAGGCTGCGAATACCGGCACCAAATGGAAGTTGTAGGCGTCCAATGCACTTTTGAGATGCGAAACCGTGCACGGACTTGAATCTACACAACTGACTCAGTACGAATCGAAAAAAGACTGGACACATGGCACTCTAAAGTTCTGGAGAATCTTAAGCTACCACCTGTGAGCACATGGATCTCTGATCGCAAAATGATATCAGCGTGACGCAAAACGTCAGTAGATTTGAAGCTAACCTTCAAAGGCTCTCTAACTGCCAGAAATTTCAGAAAATGAAGCTACTAGAACACATGTTCAGACCGTGATCCTCGAACCTGGAACCACATTCCCAAGCATAAGCTTCTACAGAAGAGTCGGTAGACCAAGAACTGACGGGCTGTTTGGAAGCAACAAAGAATGCTTTGACAGCATGCGAAGGGTCCCAGCCCTAGTCATAGTCCGAACAGATCAAGAGTGTGTCTTCTTCCAAACCATTGCACAAAGCTGTCAGGGCCCATTGAATCACTAACCAACAAGACGAACATGAACGAACGCAGAAACAGCAACAGTCCACTGGACACTGGTGTTCATTCCGCCAATGGACCACAGTGAACCCACTGTTGTTCGATAAATGTCGTGTCTTGATTCCCCTGCCTCGTGTAAAGTCTGGCCCCCAGTCGTTCCACACCACACACATGTGTGCTTTTATGTATATATGTGTACATACGTATTTATAAATACACATACGTACACAAAGTTATACACACATATATATATATATGTGTACACATGTAGCCTGCTGGTCAGTCTGAGCCATTTTGGATGGCTGATGTCATGATGCTGTGAATGGTGTGATAGGTAGTAGATGTAGGGAAAGCAGGTGGTTAAATAGGAGCATTTCTCTTAAACCAACACCTACACCCCATCAGTTTGGCAACCATAGAGCAACCCTAAGCCCTCAACGTCTTATTCCGTCCGATACCTTAAACGCTTCGAGTTTGTAATACAAATGAGCGGCCCCTAAACCCTAAACCAGCTTGTTTCCCGAAACCCAAGACACCCCCGAAGCTCTGAATCCGAAGACTCCCTTGGATGCAACATGAGCAACCAACAAATACCATCAGAGCCAAGAATGCAAGGATAACATAGACACTGCAGAAAAGTCTGGGAAAGACTACAGTGCTTGTCGAAGAAACTGTCGACGTGAATCTGTCCAGTTTTCTTTTGGCGGACCCGCCCACTCCAAGTCAAAAGACTTGACAAGTATTGCCCCTGGTTTGTCCTGCCTAGTGCCACAAGAGCGTCCCCTGGTTTCATCGCAAGACAGCGACATGATGAAGTCAGTGAGATGGCATGTGCTGAGTAGCATTGTGAAAGAGTCGATCAGAATGACAGTTTCCGGTGCGATGTATAATCAGCTTGGAGGCTGCAGTAGTTGATCGTTGGCAGTCTGTTCTCAGCTCCATCAGCCCAGAAGCTGAAGGATTCAACGTTTCACGCATTTGGCATGGTCATGTCCGTTTGCAGGACCAGCTTCGGGATGCCATGCGCGCTCAGCACTCGCAGCTGGCTGACGCTCAGTCCCTTCCGACGAGCTTTACGAGGGTGTGGGCCCGGGGCGTCGGCATGTGAGCAGCAGGGGCCTGACGGCCTGATCACTCGGTTCGGCGATTGTCCTTGGTGCTGTTCAAGGTCGCATCTATTCGTATGTGCCAGGCAGCAGTTGCGGGAGCAGCTGCGGATGGACGGAGAGCGGCAAATGAGGCAACTGATAGCTGCGATTGTTCCGCCTAATGAGTACCGAATGGTCCATGCAGGGAGTGGGAGCTTGATGCTGCAAAGCGAGCTGCGGAAGCTGAACTTCGCAATGCATCAGCGGAGGCACATCATCCAACAGTGCAAGAACCGGCATGCTGCACATCTGCTATCGTTGTAGATACAGTTCATCAGGTTTATCAGCTTTGCAGAGCCGCAAGCGTGCCAAGAGAGGAGTCTGTACACGCATGGCACACGGTCGGAGACCAATGCAACTCTAAGCAGCCCACATCAGCCCACACTCGCATTGTGCTGGAGACCCCGAAATGGGCAGCCCCACATGCAGCTACACACGAGGTTTATCCACACCTGAAGTGCCGAATACAGGTTGGTCAGGTAAAGTCAGGTAGAGGGTTCATAATATTATGTTTTGGCGAACAAAAGCCAAGATCGGACTCCGAAGTGCCAAGCAAAGCCAAAGCTCCTAAGTGCAAAGAAGCATTGAAGATGCTGGCGCCAATTCCAGATTTACGAGTCCATTTCGCTTTAACTCTTTCTGTTTCTTCACCAGCCGAACGTGTGGCGTGCTGTCTTGTTGCTTAGATTAAACCGCTCCCTCTTGGCAGCGATGCACATGTGCGGAAGTGTGGCATGAAAGGCTCATCAACTTCGTCTCGAGCAGCGGTCAATGCAGGCTGGCCTCGGAAGCCTCCTGCCAGTGCAAATCTGTCAATCTTAGCGGACTCCGGAGCATATTGAAGGGGCTAGAAATTGCTATGCAGTAGGATCACAGGTTTCTTGAAGTCACCAAAGCTAGCGCAGCGAGGCTTTCGTTTCCATCTGCGTTAGCAGTGTGGGGCCTGCGTGCCGGCCAGACCCCAAATGAATTGATACATACATCATACCTCCCTTTTGAGTTGTTGATGTGGTTGGATGTGCAGGGGGTGATGATGCCATCTCTGTTTCCCCCATGTTGCTGATGGAGCCCGCGTCGCCAGCTTGATTTCACCTCCGTTGCTGATGTGGTTGGATGTGATGATGCTTGGAGCCCGCCTAGCCAGCTCTGCATCACTTGTCGTCCCTGGCCCCGCCCCTCAAGTATTATTTGGGAGGAGCAGCTTGCAATGGCGCTCGAGAGCCAGCAGCGTGTCAGAAGCCCAGACAGCGCTTGCATGCCAGGCCCACATGCACATCAACGGCATGGAGCCATGTCGCAGTTTGTTCATCTATTCGTTCTTGAACCGCAAGTTTGGGGTGTTGGGTTGTTCTAACGCTGGCTTTAAAAGTAAGGGCATCTCATGTCACACAGCTTTTCTGGCAAGGCAGAGTGCACCGCAGCCGCAGCCGCTGGGAGTGCAGCCTCGTTGTCAGCAGCAGAGGCCACCATAAAGAGAGCATCTAATATCGCGGCCTTGAGAGATATGCAGTACTCTGCTGAGCGGAGACAAGACAAGACAGGCAAAGCCGACCGTAAGCATCTTTATCGCGTTCGTCCGATGAAGCGGCAACATTGAAAGGCACGGCTGGCCGACCAAAACAGCATGGTGACCACACTGAGGCACACGGGGCAAAAGACAAGGCGGAGAACTGGCTTTGTGTTAGGATCGTTTTCTTGGTCAGGCAGCAGCTTGCAATCTTGGCGGCTGCACGTGCTTCGGAGGCGCTTTCTCAACATGACACTTCTTGGCATCCAAGCACCATGTCTCAAGAGACATACGCTCGTGTGATGGAGCTACTAGTATTTCCAAATTCATAGGAGATTGATTTCTATGGCATTTTCGAAGGCACTGTTGGGAGGTTGCAAGCAGTCCTTTCTAGAAAAGATTTATCGGAAAAACAAATCATAATCTGGCACTGTTCGTCGCACTTTGATGTCTAAGCTGCTTCATGTTCCTTGGTCCTTAGTTGAGTCTCTTGCAACGTCGAGCGTTGAAGTTATGAACTTGGTGTTGTAGTTGCTTGAGTTTTGTTAAAAAAAATATGATGAGATTTTGAGATATGGGTGCATAGTGGGATTTGGGCGTTGGCAGTGTGCAGGGCACTATATTCTGAAATTACTGTTTCGCGCCGTGTTGCCGGCTTTCATTCGCTGTGAGCCTTGAGGCTTAAAGCTTGCAGGCAAGTTAGCGTCAGCAACAGCTCCGCCACACTCGCTTCTTATGCTTATGCCATACTCCATGATGCCACTTGGTTCTTCGTGCTGCGTTCTGTTTAACCCCGTGTGCCTTGTTGTGAAGGGGTCGCGATGCGGCCAGGAGGGATATGATCCAGTTTCGCACCGAAAATTCTTGCATCCCGGCTCTTCGAGGCCGAAGGAGAACATGGAGGAGTTTAAAGAGTGTAAAAGCAAACCCACTAAAAAGACAGCCAACATAGGTCTATTGTGTGCATGACCGGTGCACGACACAACGCCAACTCAAGGCTCGAATGCTGAATGTTTGATACTTTCGTCCGTTTGTCTACCCATAGCGGCGTAGCGGTTGCACAGACTAGCATTACTAATTGCCTCTCCCGACTTTAAGTTGAGATACACAAGCAGCTTGCAACAAAGAGGAGTGTTCGCGACAGCGCGCACAGACACCAATCCCAAGTGTCGACGATTCCTGACTTGGTGTGATGATTCTTGAAAGGAGATGAAAACAAGGAAGAAGCGGCAGAATCAGACCATGGCACATCAAGCTAAACATGCTCACCATCGTTGAGGACATCGCCAGAGAACCAGGGTTTGTCTTCTTCTCCTTTTCTGAACAGACTTTGAGGCCATTGCTGTGAGCAGGGGCGTGCTGGCTGTGGCATACGTGTCCGGCTTAGCACATGGCCCACAAGGAGATTTGTTGTCCACATTTTGGGCAGGAGAGCTCAGAGTCTGATGAATCATTAAGACCTTGCAGACCTCTGCCTGATGCCGAACGTTTGGGATTGAGGTTGGTGTGTCCAGCAGCTTGCCGACCAATCCGGGTGCGCTGGTCGCAGTCGAGGTCCCCTACTGCTGTTTGGCATCGACTCCGTTGCGGGCAGCATCTCGCAGCCAGTTGCCAGCCAGCCACGGTGAGAGACGAGAGATAGACCTGAGAAGTACAAAGCATCAGGAGATATTTTTGAGTTTAAGTCGAGGCCTGGAACAAATCCTTATGATTCGGCTCTAGAGCTGACATCGTATGTTACGTGAACGCATGAGGTAGCTCTGCAACCCCGCCGCGGCGGCCTTGTGTTTGAAACGCTGCGACCGACGCCCAGGTTGTTTTTGACTTTGCGCGACCTGGGTACAGAGTCCGAAGGACTCCAGCCAACACTGTATCATCAGTGCACCACTGCGGCTGCCCAAAGTCGTGCATGCCAGTGCGCTGCGTAAAATCCTGCAGGCTTGCGGCGGGTCAGGGTTTTGCAAAATCACGCTGGACCCACACAATCTGCACCCTTGTGCCTTGTGCTTCCCGGGTATGTGACGGCTTTGACAATGGGAATCGCAACGCGGCTGTGCTCCCACTCCAACAAAAAGAGTGCCGGAAATAGTTTGGCACGCTTGGACCCACAACACGCAGGTGTCTTGACCCTGCAACAACGCCACCGTGATCAGCGTGGCTTGAGCTGGCTGGCCGGACACCCTCGTCTGCTGAAGTGCCTGCCGGGCTTCGCAACAGAGGGGTGATAGCATTTTGGCTGCACGAGTTCAATGGCCAAGAAATGCCTGTCCACAGTGTCAACGGCCTGTGAAGAGTCATGCGCAAAACGCTGGAGAGCGCCGGGGTTTCTTTGACTCGCGAGCAGCGCAGTGTGAGACAGCAGCTTGCCAGGTATGCACACCGCGGCCACTTCAAAATGGGGTGGGGAGGGGTCGAGTGTTTGTTTTGAGCAGGGTAATCGGTCGCAGAGTTGCCAGGTATTTGTTGGCTCTTGTTTTCCCGGAGTGGGGGCCTTAATAGGGGGCAAGACCCCGGATGCGAGACGCTGGCAGGGCAAGGTATGCAGAAACAGTCTTCGATCTTCTGTACGCATGCTCCCGACACTCGGAGTAGGCAAGTCCATGCTTCTTTTGTTGAATCCCTGCAGTAACTAGGGGGAAGCCCGCGAAGAATTCGATACTTGCTGCGGTTGCATGGTGTCTAGGACATGATATGAAATTGCTGCGTCGGTGTGGTTTGTCGGCCCCATTTTTTGTGCATAGCCCAGCGTTTGCTTGCAGAAACCAGGTTTTAAGCTACTACTCGTCCTCGGTTTGATTTTGGTAGCTTGTACAATGAGCTGTTTTTTTGGCCAGCGAATCACGCCCGTGGGTATTGTTCAACACTCCATCTACTGATCTGCGACCGGGTATCGTTCAACCTGACGTAAATTTCCATGCACAATCATACAACGTTGCGCTGGGCTTTGAAATCGGGCTTGGAGGTATCGTCCTAGGTAGCGTCCCAGACAACCGCAGTTCTGATCATGTGACGGGAGAATGCCCATGGTGCGTGTTGCGGGGGTTTTGCGGGATGCGGCTGCTGTTTTTCGCTTACTCTTTGAGTGTATGTTCAGTGCTGGGTGTAGATGGGGCTTGGGGGATGAAGTTGCTGTGTTACGCTAACTGCGGTGCATGCCAAAGCTGAAGCAAAGTTCAAGCATGCCTTCAAGGGGGTTTTGGGTCGTCGTAACCGGGTGAGGCACTCAGGCCTTTGAGGCATCATCGAAGCATAAGTAGAGTCAGCGGTATGTGGTGTTTGGACTTTTGTAACGCCTAACATGTGACATCTGTGTAAACGATGCGTTTACATGGGAATGACCATCCAGGTGAGGCGTTGAGGCATTGTTGAGGCATTTGTAGGCCCAGCGTTCAAAAGGGTCTTGGATGTTTAAGTATATGAATCGCTACATTAGACATCCCTATGATCGATGCGTTTAGATGGGGAAAGCAATCCCGCGGTCAACATCGTCAACTTCCTGAATCCTCTGCGTTCAAAATTGGTCTCACGTTGAGACCTGGGGATCCCAGCTACTCTTGCAGAATCGTGGTTGGGTTTCTTTTATGAAAAAATCTGGAAAATTATGGATTCCGACATTTTGAAGCATGCAAGAATACCACAGATTTAAATTTACGATTGCTTCAACATCAATCTCAACGATATGCTGAGTTTGGGCTCGACATAGTAAGCTAACCACTTGCTTGGAACCCCTAACAATCCAACAATCACATGAGCTCATCTTTCTACATGTATCACAAGTAGAACAACAACAGGTGAGTTTATGTACCCTTTTGCAGGGAAGTGTTCTGTGAAAAAGGTTGCTGCCACACGCGTCGGTATCATTGTCTTCCAAGATCTCGTTGGAGGCTTCTTCGGATTTGTGTGCGCGGTCTGCAGTCTGAATCCTGGCGGTCAAAGATTTAAACCACTTGTGCGACAAAAAACGCTTCAAAACAGCTATCCATGGCATGGCCGCTGGCCTGCTCCATCAGCAGCTCAACCAGAAGAGATCAGAAGACCAGGTGTGATCCGTGGTGAGAGAAGGAGAAATGCGGAGTGAATTGTGGGTTCGGTCGTCTGGAGTCTCCGGGTGCTGAAAAACACAGTTGCACAGACCGTACTGACGGACGCAGGGCTTATCGCAGCGCTTGCGCGCGGCATGCCGGCAGTGTGGCCGCGTTCTCGAGCCCGCATGCTCAGACTTCTCAATCTTTACGGGCTTCGCTTTGTGCTGCTAGGCGTGTCTCAACGGTTTGATTCGTGTCCCGTCTCGTAATTTGCAGGCAGCAGCTGCAATCTGCCGAACCCTCATTGCACCATGTTCTTGTCTCTAGACCACAGCCGTTGCAACAAACGACTGTTTGCGTCGGTCCTTTGTCGGAAGATGGAAGATGAGTTCAAGTTCAGGTTCTAGAGCATTGCTGGCGATGCATGTACACTTGATTGCAGACGTGTTTCTGCGACAGTGTTATAGCGAGTGTCGCCTGATGAATTTTGCATCATAAGTCATAAGGCCCATGAAATTGCATGGACGGAGTCCGGACCGTCCCCATTGGACATCGACTGGGAGGCAAATAAATATTGGCTGCAGCCTTCAAGCATCACATCACGCACTGGGTCGCGTTGCAGGCTGTGGAGGCCAAGACTCTCCAGGAGCTGGGTCAGATCCTAATTTTTACTAACACCTACCCGTTACTAGGCCTTCAGAGACGCCATGAGGCTCCACTGCTTTGCCCGATCTCGGGCCCTAAGCTCAGCTGCCCTTGTTGAAACTCCGCAAGAGCACATTGTGACGCCAATGACCAGCCTTTGCACAGGTCTGCGCCGATGAAGGCCCCGGGACACTAGCAGCTCCCCGGGTGTTTGTTTGCGCTTGGCAGCTACACACACCGGTTGCTGGCACGGATTGTTTGGGAATTGTCACGAGCAGGCAGCACCTGCTGCAGAGAAGCTGCTTCAAGACGAGGCTTCCCAGCTTTTGTGCCAGCACTACAACATTTGATAAATGGCACACCACATGTCGGAATTGCAACCTTAAGCTGGCGCATCCTCAAACTAGTGGACCACATAGCGTTTCGATTTCGTTTTCCGGACAGAAGCCTGGCTATCAGACTCCCAAGACATGAATGTACATCGCTTGTGCCGAGTGGAAAAGCTGACCCTAGCACTTGTGAGGAGAGCCACACCACACGAGGGTGCATGGTTTGGCGGTTTTTCCTCTTTTTCGTTCTTTCTGGGTACCGGCGAATCCCTTCATGTGCGCAGGGGTATACGTACTGTAAGCCATGAATCATCAAAAGGGTTTTTCAGAGGTTGCGGACTGCTATTCGTCTGAGATCCTTGGAGGGTGGTGCTATGCCCGTCTCTCGACGTGAGCCTCGACCAAGCTTCTCTGCGTCTTTGTCAGAGGTGTTCAATGCGGTCGCAATACGACTTTTGCAGTCACGTACCCATCAACGAATCCGATCTTTCGTCTGTGGCATTTGTAGAACTCTTAAGGGCTTGATCCTGCATGCGTAGTGCAGTATCAGTGCAGTGCACAGGTCGCGTCCGTAACACGACCTATGCAGGTTCAGAATGAAGGCATGCAAAGCGCGTTTAGTCACACCATCAGCAGACCCTTTGGCCAAATATTCTCTCCGCTGGAGCAGGCTTGGCCAGTTATGCAATATCTACACCCATTGCAGCGCTGACATCTTATGAACCCTCAAGAGTTTCATGCAGCTGGCCAATAATCCCGATGCAACACAATGTGCAGATGCGACTGAGAATTGCGCCTTATCAAAAGCAAATCATCAGTCAATCCAATCGCCATAGATAGAGCTTTGTGCGGCGATGCTAATGCCATGGTTGCTTTCGTGTGTGCCGCTTGCGTATGTCACGAAGCATGCGCGGAAACACAACTCCGGGGCACGACTCACGACAGCGCACATTGATTTAGAATTATCGGCAGAAACCCGCAGGTGACCGACACAAAATGAGTCTACTGATGGTGGCAACTTACCAATGTCCAACAAGCTCCCATATCCAATCCTCGAGCTGAGCGCCAAATCTAACGCACGCGGGAGAGGCAACTAAGGGTCCCGGCAGTCATCTCCCCGTAGGAAAAGCAGGGCTGAAGGTGGACAGGGGCCGTCCCATCCACAACTAGTAGTCCGCTATGGTTCTGGTGATACCTGGCTCCGAACCCGTGGCATTCTTCTCGATGTCAGGTGAAGCAGCAGAGCATGGAGCTGGACAGGCCGGATGCCTTGCACAGGTGCAGAGAGACCAGGCAAGGACGGCCTTCCGCAACCTGCAACCTGCAGGCTT